TGACTTGTCCTTCCTTTTCGAATCCTTGCTTCTCCGAGAGGGTCTTCGTTCATATCGATCATCCCTACTCCTTCTCTCCCTTGATGGTGACTTCTCTTCTACTTCTTCTTTTGGGAGAATCTTCTCTTCTCTTGTGGGGAGCCGTACACTCATTGGAGTAGTGTCCGGGTCTTCCACAATTGTAGCAGTTTCGCTCTCGACTAGAAGATCTTTTGTCATTGTAGGACCTTGACTTGGAACTTCTCTCTTTGCTTCTATTCTTATAGAACTTGTTGAAGTTCTTCACCATTAAGCTCAATTCTTCATTGAAGGTTTGTTTATCACTTGATGATGTGGGGGCTTCACATGAGGCTTTGTAAGCACCACTTGACTTGTTATGGAGCTCCTTCTTATCCTTGAATGACATCTCATGAGCAACAATTCTTCCAATGACTTCCATTGGCTTGAGATCTTTGTAATTTGGCATCATTTGGATCAATGTGCATACGGTATCGTATTTTCCATCCAAGGCTCTTAGGATCTTCTTGATGATGAATTTGTCGGTCATCTCTTCACTTCCTAAGCCGGCAATCTCATTTGTGATAAGAGCAAGCCTAGAGTACATTTCAGCGACACCTTCACCATCCTTCATTTTGAACTTGTCAAGTTGATTTTGAAGCACATCCAACTTGGATTCCTTGACGGAGTCGATACCTCCGTGCATATCAATCAAAGTATCCCAAATTTCCTTTGCATTCTCAAGACGGCTGATTTTGTTGAATTCTTTGGGGCACAATCCGTTGAAGAGGATATCACAAGCTTGAGCATTGTATTGTAGCATCTTCAACTCTTCCGCGGTGGCTTCACGATTCGGTTCTCTCCCATCAAAGAATTCACCTTGCAAGCCAACACACACAATAGCCCAAATGGCGAGGTTATGTCCAAGAATATGCATTTTCATCTTATGCTTCCAACTAGCAAAATTAGTACCATCAAAGTAAGGACCTCTACGGTGGTAATTTCTCTCGCTAGACGCCATACTCTCCTAGGTTGTGAAACCAATGCTATGACCACCAAAAGCTATGGAAATCAAAGCAAATGGAGACCAAAACTCTGATACCACTTGTAGGATCAAAAGTATGTCTAGAGGGGGGATGATTAGACTACTTGACCAATTAAAAATCTATCCTTTTCCCAATTTTAGTCTTTGGCAGATTTTATCTATCTTAGCACAAGTCAAGCAATCTTAACACAATTCAAGCAAGCATGCAAAGAGTCTATGAGCAGCGGAAAGTAAAGCATGCAACTTGCAAGAAAGTAAAGGGAAGGGTTTGGAGAATTCAAATGCAATTGGAGACACGGATGTTTTTGTCGTGGTTCCGATAGGTGGTGCTATCGTACATCCACGTTGATGGAGACTTCAACCCACGAAGGGTAACGGTTGCGCGAGTCCACGGAGGGCTCCACCCACGAAGGGTCCACGAAGAAGCAACCTTGTCTATCCCATCATGGCCATCACCCACGAAGGACTTGCCTCACTAGCGGTAGATCTTCATGAAGTAGGAGATCTCCTTGCCCTTACAAACTCCTTGGTTCAACTCCACAATCTTTGTCGGAGGCTCCCAAGTGACACATAGCCAATCTAGGAGACACCACTCTCCAAGAAGTAACAGATGGTGTGTTGATGATGAACTCCTTGCTCTTGTGCTGCAAATGATAGTCTCCCCAACACTCAACTCTCTCTCACAGGATATGGATTTGGTGGAAAGAAGATTTGATTTGAAAGCAACTTGGGGAAGGCTAGAGATCAAGATTCATATGGTGAGAATGGAATGTTCTGATGGCTCTCTCCATGAATTAGGTGGTTCTCTCTCAGAAAATGTGTATTGGAAGTGTAGGTATGTTCTGATGGCTCTCTCCACGAATGAAGAGTGGGTGGAGGGGTATATATAGCCTCCACACAAAAACTAACTGTTACACCAATTTACCAATGTCGGTGAGACCGAATTGAGAAACTCGGTCGGACCGATTTAGCAAACCTAGTGACCGTTAGGATTTTCGGTGGGACTGCGATGCAATTTGGTAGGACTGATATGGTTAGAGTTTGGGCATAACGTAATTTCGGTGTGACCGATTGCACAAACTCGGTGGGACCGATTTTGGTAATAAGCTAACCAGAGAGTTGGTCAGGTAAACTCGGTGGGACCGATCGCTCATTTCGGTGGGACCGAAATGTTACAAAAGGGAAACAGAGAGTTTACATTGCAATCTCGGTGAGACCGATTGCTCATCTCGGTAGGACCAACACGTTACGAAGGGAAACAGAGAGATTACAACCCCATCTCGGTGTGACCGAGATCCCTATCGGTGAGACCGATTTGCCTAGGGTTTGTGGCAGTGGCTATGACATCTGAACTCGGTGGTGCCGGATAGAAAGAATCGGTGGGGCCGAGTTTGACTTTTGGTTTAGGTCATATGTGGATGCGGGAAGGTAGTTGAGGGTTTTGGAGCATATCACTAAGCACTATGAAGCAAGAACCTCATCAAGCAACACCTCATCCCTTCTTGATAGTATTGGCTTTTCCTATAGACTCAATGTGATCTTGGATCACTAAAATATAAAATGTAGAGTCTTGAGCTTTGAGATTGAGCCAATCTTTTTGTCCTTAGTATTTTGAGGGGTCCACTTTCCTCATCCATGCCATGCCATTCATTGAGCTTTTCCTGAAATATTAATCTTGGAATAGCATTAGCTCAATGAGCTATATGTTGTTAGGAATTACCAAAACCACTTAGGGATAGTTGCACTTTCACAAACCCCCAATTACACAAAGTTGGACCTATTAGGGTATCTTGTACATTGACCCTCAAATCTCCCATATCTGTCTGGACCGCTGAAGTCATCCAACACGGTCCTGTTTCGATCCGCGGCGCCGCCCGAATATACTTTCTCCTACAAACCAGAGACAAATGTGGGGAGCTTTTGCACGAGTCCGGACCGCTCCCAAGCGAAGGGGCGGTCAGCCCGCTTCAATGCGGCACAGAGCCGCAATCCCCCTCCTCAAGCATCGCCGCACTCCGCCTCCCCGTCACCCACCTCGCCGGGCCCGTCCTCCTCTCCGATCGTAGAGGCGATGTTAGAGTCATGCTGCTCTGTGCTGACATATGACGTCGGCGGAAGCTCTTCATTCGCTGGTTCTTCGTGCCGCCATCATCGCTCTCTGCCCCCTTCGGCATCCACGGTGGCTGGCTCCTCCTCCAGGGAGCAGATCTTCATCTCATCAACTGAGGAGGAGGACCAAGCGCCGTCGCGGCAACCGCCGCGGCTCCTCAAAGAGCCCTCTCTCACGGACAAAGATTTCATCTCTCAGATCGAGATAATGACGAAGCGATAGCTCTGTTACATGGGCTCGTCGCCTCCATCGCCGCCAGGACCCGTCGTCCCCGCTGTGCCAGCGCGTGAAGCGCGGGCCAACGTCCCTGCTCCGGCCTTTCAAGGAGGAGCTGGCCTTCACCCTGACAGCACCGTGGCGTCCAGATCGGACGGCACGTGAAGGAGCCGACCTTGCCCCCACACCAGCACTGCGGTGTCCATATCATATGTCGGGTCAAGGAGGAGCCACCATCCCCGTCGCGCAACCGGTACAACCACATGGGCGCGCCATCGTCGCCGCCGCGCCTCCACCACCTCGCCGTCAAGGAGGAGTTGCCATCCGCCATCAAGAAGGCATGGGGCCACCTCTTCCACTACCCTAGAGGAGGCAGTTACGGTGGTGCCTCGAGCTCAAGAGCCGTCGTCTCCGTGGAGGAGCACGCGCCGAGGCAGCAGACGAGGTACGACCGACGCAATGCCGGTTGCCGCTCCGCGTTCGCCAAGAACGACGTTGCGCCGGACTAGGTCCGCAACGCCCCTGACCTCGCCGCCACGTGGGCGCTCGACCGCTCCATTGACCACCGCGGAGATGGCCGCCAGGCGCCTTGACGGCGAGGTCGTCAAGATCAGTGAGAGTGGTTGCTTAGCGACTGCTCCGCCAACACCGGTCGCGGCAAGGCAACCGCTAGGGCTCCGAAGGCCACGTCGGCAGTGGCTGCGGCGGCACTCCGCACCGCGCAACAGGAGTTAGAGCGGTTCCTCTGCGAGCGGCAGGCAGGCACCGGACAAGGCTGTTGTGGCCCTCTGGCGCTGCTCTACCGCTGGAGGGACCACTACAACGACGATGGCATCGACGAAGACGACAATGCGGCAGGGGAAGGCTGCCACGCATACGATATGGTCATCCGGTATAGGGTTTATGTTTTATTTAGTTTTTATTTTGTTAAACGGTCGAAATATCGATCTTTTATGTAAATTATGTTCTAACTTACAATGAAATCCGTCCGATTTAGATGAATTTCGTCCGATTAGTTTAAATTATTGTCCGGATGTATGCAAACAACGTTGGATGGCGGACTCCCTCGTCCATATCCGCGGACTGGTCCCTTTGTCCGCAAACAGATGCGGGAGAAAATTTACGGGTTGCTGTTGGAGATGCCCTTACTTGTATATCATTGTGTCGGTTGGCAACAACAAAAAGAAGAAAATGAAAGGCAAGGTATATCCGCAAGACCAATATACCACCAATCATGATTGAGTACCGGTATATGGTATGACCTTCATTGAAAAAACATCGTTACAAAAAAATTCCATTGATTAATTAACCGGACACTCAGATCCATCGACACGGACAAAACAACACAACCAATTCTTCAGAAAAAAAACTAACATGGACACCGAAAACTTTAATAAAATACAAAACAACACATCCCCCGCGGCCCACAGAAGTGTACAATAATGCGCCGCTCCTCCATCACGGCCACCATAAAAAAGAATCATAAGCTATAGATGTATACCTGCAAATGAATCCTTAGCTTAACACTATTTGTTCCTCGTCTTGTCCTTCATGTACTATTTCATCTTAATAATCAACCGAGTATACGTAGAAATTAAGTGACGATCATGTACGTGAAGTTGCTGGGCCAGATCACAAGGCGCTCATGTCCTTGACGAAGCCGTACTTCTCCATGAATGGGTTCCTGATCTCCTTGGGCGGGTACTCGTGGATGCAGTCCGCCCACACGCCGGCGTCGGTGCCGGGCCTCTCCACCGTCCAGACGCAGCTGTTGCACTTGAACCCGGCGCCGAAGGTGAGCATGAGCACGCGGTCGCCCTTGTTGAGCCGCTTCTTGGCCTCCATGTAGGAGAGCACGTACCAGACGCTGCTGGCCGAGGTGTTGCCGAAGCGGTGCAGCGTCATGCGCGACGGCTCGATGTCGTGCTCCGTGAGGGTGAGCCCCTTGCCGACGCCGTCGATGACGGCGGCGCCGCCGGTGTGCACGCAGAAGTGGTCCACCCCGGCCTTCATCCGGATGGTGAGCGCGGAGGAGGGCTTCTTCTTGTTGGTGCGCGTGAGGAAGCGCGCCGAGAGCGTGGCGTAGGCGAGGCGGAGGAGCTCCGGGAGCGGGAGCACGCGGGGCGACAGCACGCGGAGGTTCTTGACGAAGGCGTGCACGGCGGCACGGGGGAGCTCCTTGCCGAGGTGGAAGCCGGGGCGGCCGGCGTCGTCCTCCATCTGGAGCGCGCAGTTGTAGGCCTCGTCGGAGGCGCCCGTGTGCGTGCGCACGACGTGGCGGAGGCGCAGTTTGGCGTGGGGGCGCAGCCGCGGCGAGTTGGTGAGGAAGTAGGCGCAGCCGCCGGAGCGGAAGAGGCAGTTCCCCAGCATGAAGGAGCGCCTGTTCCCCGGGTACCAGTTGGGCGCGATCGACTCCGACGTCATCACCAGCGCCACCTTGTTCGCGTGCGTTCTGCGGATCAATTTTTACCATGCACATTGTAAACACGGATCAATTTTTACCCCTAGACTAGAAAGTACTACAGATTCGCAGAGCGAAAAACAAGAAACATTTCCGTCTCAAATTCTTGAGGCCAATGGAACAGTACACTGGCAATTTGGCATGGACGCAGATGGCCGGAGCCGCAGTCTGCCATGCCGGACGCCATTACTCTCTGCTCTTCACTTCGCTATGGCGCAAGAGGCAGAGAAGAGGCAGAGGAGAGGAGGTTCGTCCGTCCACCGTCCACGTCAACATATTCACGCACCGTCTCCCTGCACCCATCTGCTACTGCTGCTGCACTGCAGCTACTAAAAGCGAACCAAACTTGGCGAGCCGGCATTGAAGCGATGCAGGACAAACTACACAGTACTGTACTACTACTAATAGTGGTAGGGCAGTTGGCTAACATGCAGAGCTGGTGCCTACACTGCACGATGCAGGCAGGGACAGGTAACTTCACCATCTCGCTGTTACTAACATTTATTCTGCGTCGATCTTGGCCCTTCATCACATGATTTGATCTAGCATCACATGGTGGATAGGATGGTCATATGGGACTACAGGGTAAGATGGATCCGCTCGTCTTGGGAGGCAGGTGAGTGGGCACTGAATTTATGGTCTTTTTTTTTGAGTTGGAATTTATGGTTCTTCTTATTGCTGTTAAAAATAGCAAGGTACCGCTCGGTGTACTGCAAAGTGTACTGTACTGCTCCCTCAAAAAAAGTGTACTGTACTGCGGTTGTGTCTACTTTCTTGGGTTTCAAAGTTCACGGGTGGGAAAAATATGTATACATCTTTAATGGGAGTCCTTGTCCTGGGCACGTGACGGCCATATACATTTCACAGTGAGGTTTTTCTTCTCCCGGGTGACAATGGACATGGTACGAGAAAGATCATCTACCTAGTGCCATCTAGCTCAGCTCAGCAGCAAGCTGTAATCGACTACTCTACAGTAGAGAAGATAAATGGTCTGATCAGGATCAGAATAGCTCACCGGACGGATGCACAGCAAATAAATTGCTAGGGGCCACTGCGGCCCAACTTTAGGCTTTTGCCTGCCAATGCAATGCGCTATTCGGGCGTCTCAAACTCTCACCGACTGCACGCTTGTCGTACCACTACGCTTGGACCCGGATCGAGCGAGAGCCGAGCGTAAAAAACAATCAGTTGTTAGTGCTGGTTGAATCCAGGCCGTTGAATTATTGGACACTAGCCGTTGTATTAGTTGCGCAACAGAGAAGATAATGCTGGTTGGAGATGCGGGGAGAAAACAAGGGCACCTGAAGAAGTTGTTGGCGAGGTCGAGGGCGATGAGGGTGGCGCTACAGCCCATGCCGGTGAGGTTGAACACCTTCACGTCCTCCCGGAGGCCGTAGCGGCGCACCACCCTCGCCGACAGGGACGGCGCCGGGGAGAACATGGACACGTTCACGACGAGCAGGTCCACGTCGGCGGGGCGCAGGCCCAGCCCGCCCGGCGCGGCTGACCTGGCGAACAGCTCGTCGAGCACGGCGTGGAACGTCTCGTCCATCTCCTCCATGCCCTCGGCGACGCGGTCGGGGCTCGCGTCGCCCCCCGCGATGATGTTGCGCGGGCCGTACGTCTCCTCGCCGATGCCGGAGTTGACGATGACCTTGAGCAGGAACTTGTACTCCTCCAGCCCCAGCAGCTTGTTCCGTTGGATGATCTCGCCGCACAGATCCGTGGGGAGCTTGCGGTCGTCCGTCCCCTTGTAGCACACGTAGTCAACCAGATAGCACCGCCGCCGCCGGGACCGCTCCACCAGCAGCCGCACCAGCGCCGCCGCCGAGAGGGCCAGCAGCGTCAGCGTCACCATCGTCGCCAGCTCCATGTTTACCAGCGAGGAGAGATCTATCGACCGAGGCGGGCCGGGATTGCTAGCTAGCCAACCTAGATGTATGGCGACGGAGTTACCAATGCACAATGTGCGTGGTTCCCGCTCATGGAGATGGAGGCGAGAGCTGGGAGAGCCGGCGAGCTTAGACCTATGGACCTCCTCCTCTAATGGAGTAACATGCTATAGATAGTGTGGAGTGGGGTTGCCGGGTAGGTGTGGATGGGAGATTAATGGAAAGGTTTTGAGGAAGTGGAAGGAGGAGCGGAGGTTTTATAGCGAGAGGGGGCTCATGAGAAGCTTCTTCACATTTCCTGCTTATATTTTTCTTCGTTTTTTATCTTCACCTGCGTTCGACAAATGGTGTTTAAGCAGGGCAACGTGGCGTGCTTTTCCAATTATGGCGATTCAGAGGAATTGTAGCTCCACTGTGTTTCAGGGTATGATTTCCATTGATTTATATATAAAACGGAGCATGAGCCTTTAAGAGCAACTCCAACGGGTCGACTCATTTCGTCTGCGGTGTGTCTGTTTGCGTCGTGACGGACAGAAAAGTCGGCCCAACGAGCCGACTCAAACGGACCCGCGTCTGATTTTCGTCCGCCTGCCGACCCGTTCCCGGCCCAATTTTGAGCCTGAGTTGCGTCGGCACAAACACGAAACAGACGTGCGCCCCGCGCGCGAACTATTCCCCGTGGCCCGCCAGTCGGTGGCAAATTGTCCACCATTTCCCTTCCTCCCGCCTGCTCGCGCTCCTAGCCGCTTGCCATGGACGACGCCCTTGATGCCGCCGCCGGCCTCGCCTCCTTCGCCTCGTCCAGCATCGCCTCCGCCCCCTCCGACAATGGCAAGCCCCGCGCCTCCGCAAGACCGCCGCGCCGCCCAAGAAGAAGCAGCTGACGCCCAAGGAGTGGGCAGTCAAGTCGGCCAAGCGGAAGGGCCGGAGGCACGCGGCAGCCGCAAGGGACGAAGTTGCGGCAGTCACCGCCCTCACCGCCGCCGCACAGCAGGAGGAAACCAACGCCTGAGTCGCGGCGGCAACGAGTGAGGCCCTGATCTACCTAGGGTTAAACCCTAGCCAGCACGGGCTCGTCAAAGCCGTCGTGGCCGCGGCTGATACGTCTCCGTCGTATCTACTTTTCCAAACACTTTTGCTCTTGTTTTGGACTCTAACTTGTATGATTTGAATGGAACTAACCCGGACTGACATTGTTTTCAGCAGAATTGCCATGATGTTATTTTTATGCAGAAATAAAAGTTTTCGGAATGACCTGAAAATCAACGGAGATTATTTTTGGAATATATAAAAAATACTGGCAGAAGAATCCACATCAGGGGGGCCACACCCTGTCCACGAAGGTGGGGCGCGCCTACCCCCGGGACGCGCCCCCCTACCTCGTGGCCCCCCTGACGCTTCACCGACCTCAACTCCAACTCAATATATTCGTGTTCGGGGAGAAAAAAATCAGAGAGAAGGATTCATCGCGTTTTATGATGCGGAGCCGCCGCCAAGCCCTAAACTCTCTCGGGAGGGCTGATCTGGAGTCCGTTCAGGGCTCTGGAGAGGGGAATCCATCGCCATCATCATCATCAACCTTCCTCCATCACCAATTTCATGATGCTCACCGCCGTGCGTGAGTAATCCCATCGTAGGTTTGCTGGACGATGATGGTTTGGATGAGATTTATCATGTAATCGAGTTAGTTTTGTTAGGATTTGATCCCTAGTATCCACTATGTTCTGAGATTGATGTTGCTATGACTTTGCTATGCTTAATGCTTGTCACTAGGGCCCGAGTGCCATGATTTCAGATCTGAACCTATTATGTTTTCATGAATATATGTGAGTTCTTGATCCTATCTTGCAAGTCTATAGTCACATATTATGTGTTATGATCCGTTAACCCCGAAATGACAATAATGGGGATACTTACCGGTGATGACCGTAGTTCGAGGAGTTCATGTATTCATTATGTGTTAATGCTTTGGTCTGGTACTCTATTAAAAGGAGGCCTTAATTTCCCTTAGTTTCCAATAGGACCCCACTGCCACGGGAGGGTAGGACAAAAGATGTCATGCAAGTTCTTTTCCATAAGCACGTATGACTATATTCGGAATACATGCCTACATTACATTGATGAACTGGAGCTAGTTCTGTGTCACCTTATGTTATAACTGTTGCATGATTGATCGCATTCGGCATAATTATCCATCACTGATCCATTGTCTACGAGCTTTTCATATATTGTTCTTCGCTTATTTACTTTTTCGTTGCTACTGTTACAATCACTATAAAACCAAAAATATCACTTTTGCCACCCCTACCACTACTATCATATTACTTTGCTACTAAATACTTTGCTGCAGATATTAAGTTATTCAGGTGTGGTTGAATTGACAACTCAGCTGCTAATACTTGAGAATTGGCTCCCCTTGTGTCGAATCAATAAATTCGGGTTGAATACTCTACCCTCGAAAATGGTTGTGATCCCCCTTACTTGTGGGTTATCAGCGGCCAGCATGGGCTTGTCCGCGTTTCCTTGGATGATGCTGCCAGAGTCATCGCACGCGTCTGCCACGCACCCTATTCCTGGCTTCCACGTATATCTGCAAGCCTCTTGACTCCCCGAGGAATGCTCGCTGTGTTGGAAATATGCCATAGAGGCAATAATAAAATAGTTATTATTATACTTCCTTGTTCATGATAATTGTCTATTATTCATGCTATAATTGTATTAACCGGAAACCGTAATACATGTGTGAATACATAGATCACAACATGTCCCTAGTGAGCCTCTAGTTGACTAGCTCGTTGATCAATAGATGGTTGTGGTTTCCTGACCATGGACATTGGATGTCTTTGATAACGGGATCACACCATTAGGAGAATGATGCGATGGACAAGACTCAATCCTAAGCATAGCACAAGATCGTGTAGTTCGTTTGCTAGAGCTTTTCTAATGTCAAGTATCATTTCCTTAGACCATGAGATTGTGCAACTCCCAGATACCGTAGGAATGCTTTGGGTGTATCAAACGTCACAACGTAACTGGGTGGCTATAAAGGTGCACTACAGGTATCTCCGAAAGTGTCTGTTGGGTTGGCGCGAATCAAGACTGGGATTTGTCACTCCGTATGACATAGAGGTATCTCTGGGCCCACTCGGTAATGCATCATCATAACGAGCTCAATGTGACTAAGGAGTTAGCCACAGGATCATGCGTTACGGACGAGTAAAGAGACTTGCCCGTAACGAGATTGAACAAGGTATGGGGATACCGACGATCGAATCTCGGGCAAGTAACATACCGATGGACAAATGGAATTTTATACCAGATTAATTGAATCCCCGACATCATGGTTCATCCGATGAGATCATTGTGGAACATGTGAGAGCCAACATGGGTATCCAAATCCTGTTGTTGGTTATTGGCCGGAGAGATGTCTCGGTCATGTCTCATGGTTCCCGAATCCGTAGGGTCTACACACTTAAGGTTTGGTGACACTAGAGTTGTTATGGGAAATTGTATGTGGTTACCGAAGGTTGTTCGGAGCACCGGATGAGATCTCGGACATCATGAGGAGTTCCGTAGGTGAAGATTTATATATGGGAAGTCCAGTTTCAGTCGCTGGAATGGTTTCGGAGGTTATCGGTATTGTACCGGGACCATCGAAAAGTGTCCGGGGTCCACCGGGTGTGGCCACCTGCGCCGGAGGACTTAATGGGCTGAATATGGGAGGGAACCAGCCCCCTAGTGGGTTGGTGCATCCCCCAAGGGCCCAAGGCGCCTAGGGTTGGAAACCCTAGGCGAGGGGGTGCCTTCCACCTTGCTTGGGGTGCAAGTCTCCCCTCCTGGATGCCCCCCTCTAGATGCATCTTGGGGGGCAGCCCCCTCTTCCCTTCCCCTATAAATAGTGGGGGTGGGAGGGCGGCCGTACCCTTCCCCTGGCGCAGGCCTCCCTCCTCCTACACCTCCTCCTCCTCCATCGTGCTTGGCAAAACCCTGCCGGAGAATCGCAAGCTCCACCACCACACCGTCGTGATGCCGGAGCTCTCCCTCAACTTCTCCTCTCCCCTTGCTGGATCAAGAAGGAGGAGACGTCCCCGGGTTGTATGTCTATTGAACGCGGAGGCGCCGTCTGTTCGGCGCTTGGATCGGATCTTCCGCGATTTGAATCGCCTCGAGTACGACTCCATCAATCGTGTTCTTATAACGCTTCCGCTTAGCGATCTTCAAGGATATGAAGATGCACTCCCTCTCTCTTGTTGCTAGTATCTCCTAGATTGATCTTGGTGACACGCAGGATTTTTTTTGAATTATTACTATGTTCCCGAACAGTGGTATCAGAGCCAGGTTTATGCATAGATTCTATGCATGAGTAGAACACAAGTAGTTGTGGGCGATGATTTGGTCAATTTGCTTGCCGTTACTAGTCCTATCTTGACTCGGTGGCATTGTGGGATCAAGCGGCCCGGACCGACCTTACACGTACGCTTACGTGAGACAGGTTCCACCGACTGACATGCACTTGATGCATAAGGTGGCTAGCGGGTGTCTGTCTCTCCCACTTTAGTCGGATCAGATTCGATGAAGAGGTTCCTTATGAAGGGTAAATAGAAATTGGCATATCACCGTTGTGGCTTTTGCGTAGGTAAAAAACGTTCTTGCTAGAAACCCACAGCAGCCACGTAAAATATGCAACAACAATTAGAGGACGTCTAACTTGTTTTTGCAGGGTGTGCTATGTGATGTGATATGGCCAAAAGGATGTGATGAATTATATATATGTGATGTATGAGATTGATCATTTTCTTGTAATAGGAATCATGACTTGTATGTCGATCAGTATGATAACCGACACGAGCCATAGGAGTTGTCTTAATTTATTGTATGACCCACGAGTCAATATAAGCGCCATGTAATTACTTTACTTTATTGCTAACCGTTAGCCATAGTAGTAGAAGTAATAGTTGGCGAGACAACTTCATGAAGACAC